GAAAAAACGCGTGGTGTTTATGAACGATCAGAAGTATGGAGTGGAAACAAGGGGGGGGGGGGAATTTTCGCATCCCTACTACAAATCCTCTGCCTGGCAACCTCAGCGTGCACGAATCAGTCGAGATAGAACGTCATGAACTTACTGTGTGGGTTACGCTAATCCTGTATGGTTATTACGTTTTTTTATTTCGAAATCAAATTGTAAATAAATATACGAACAAGATTGCGAATTCAAATCGAAGAATTCATGAAACACACAGACATTCCAGAAAATCAAGATCCGTACGATATATTAGCTGTAAACAAAATAGAAAAACAAAGAAGATGTTCTATCCAGGGGCTTTAGGTAGGAAAATTTATTACATATACTTGCAGTGCCAACAGCCAATGTGTAGGGAACATATCGCAAAAATTTGTTTCGCCTGTTCCACGCAAAAATGAATAAATAATTTCATTTGTTATTTAGATGTCATATAATAAAGACTTTTGCACTAACTTTATCGTATTACTTGAAAATCATCCAAATTCAACCTCGTCGAAGAAATATATTTTTTAGGATAATTCATAATAATATTTTTTTTTTCTTAAAATACAACTTAATATGTTTCGATTTCTGTAAATTAAAAACTTGTATAATTTTTTTTTGGAAAATAACTAATTTATTTAAAAAACGATTTTTTTTTAATTTTGAAATTTCTATCTTCCTTTTTTTCAAAATATCTTGGTTTTCGGAAGTTTTATGATATTCTTATCTATATATTCTTTTTCCGTACTGTCTGTTGTATCGATTAAAAAAAAAAGAAGTTAAAATTTATGCCAAGTTAAATTAGATCCCAAGATAAAAGCAAAAGAAGACTCCAGGGTTACCGTAACCCATGTGTGGTAAAATCAGGTGGCGAAAATAGTGTGGTGTTCAAGGGTTAAGTAATTAAATATGTTCATAAATAATTGTATAAGATAAAAAAATGCATATCTACCTCAAAATAAAATTTATTGGAATTGTAAATTACTAAAAAAGTCATGCAATCTTGTGAAATTTAGTGTTAATATAAGAACACGCATCAAATTTCTAAATAATTGTCTCAAATTAAATATAGTTTCCACCACATTTACATATGCTGACAAATCATAATAATATTTCATTGTATAATAAGAACTATTATAACCGATTTGATAAGATACAACGTAATAATGTTAAAGCAATAATGCGATTGGAACTAAAATATAATAGCTTAAACTTAACTAGAGTATATTTTTAAGGTCACTAGTCAAATTACTAATATTTTGCCGTTTTCTATAGCATGTGAGTTTTTTAAATATCATGTCTTGATATTTAACGTTACAAAAAAAATTTATCAACGACCACCCAGAGTTACTTATTACAAAAACAGATAAAGAAAATGTCACTATTATTCTCAATAGATCCATATACATTTCTAAAATGGAAGAGAATTTGTCTGATACAGATACATATCAAATAATTGATAAGGATCCCACGTGGAAACTGACTGCGGAGTTGCGCGGCATATTAGTGAGATGGAAAAAAGTGGTTTCATCGATGAGTATATTTACAAAAGATTACTAACGACTGATGGGATTTTGCTTAGAGCTTACGGACTGACTAAGATTCATAAACCGGGTTTTCTTTTAAGAGTGATCGTGTCATTAATTAACAGCCCGTTATATTGTCTCTCGTTGTTTTTACATAAAATCATTTTGATAGTATACCTAAAGCTCCAAGTTATATAAAAAATGGTTTCCATTTGGTCGAAAAACTAAATGGATTCAATTTTGATTCAAACTATGTTTTGATATCTTTAGCTGTCATATCGCTTTTCACGAACGTTCTCGTGGAATTGGCATTAAATATCATTGAAAAAAGATGGGATCACATAAAAAAACAAATATTTCCTGTAATAAATTTTTAACTGCGGTTCGTTTGGTTTAAACTCTACGTTTTTTCTTTCAACAAAGTTTTTTATAAACGAGTTTTTGGAACTTCAATAGGCTCACCATTGTCACCTGTAATGGCGGTGATGCAAGATTTAGAAGAAATGGCTATTCGTAAATTACCTGTACAATTATTATTTTATTTTCGGTATGTTGGCGACATAATTGTAGCGGCTCCGACTAATAGCACTGATCAGGTTCTAAGTATCTTTAATTCTTTACACACTAGATTACAATTCACTATTGAGATTGGTTTTGATGGAAGGTTACATTTTCTTGACACTACAATCATTGTAGAAAATCAGAAGATTATTTTTGACAGATACAAAAAAGCTTGTTCTGGTAGATTCCTTAATTTTCATTCACATCATTCCTTTTGTCACAAAAAAGGCGTCATTATTGGTTTCATAGACAAGATTATCATGTTATCTTATCCACGTTTTCATGAAAAAAACTTAATAGACGCTATACGTATTTTTTTGGATAATGGTTATCCTCTTTCATTTATCTTTTCCACTACTAAAAATAGATTAAAATATCACATGCTTAATAAGAATATAACAGAATATTCACGTTAAAGAAAAATATTTTACAATACCATATGTAAAGTCCATCTCAGAAAGTTTTTTACCTATAACTAATATGTTTAACGGCAAATTAGCATATTTCATCCCGAATACTTCATAATAAAAGCAAAGGATACATTGGAACCATTGTCTAACCCAAATGTAGTTTATAAGATTTCATGCGATGATTGTGAAGCTAGACGTAGGCCAGACAAAGAGAAAGCTGGAAACAAGATTGAAGGAACACATCTCGGATATTAATAAAAAGACAAGCTCTTCTTCTGTGACAGAACATCGTGTTAATCATAATCATAATTTTAATTAGAAAGATGTAAGAATTTTGAACAAAGAGCCTTCTTATAATAAAAGATTGATTTCTGAGATGACCCACATAAAGAGACAAAAAGTAAGTTTAAATAGACAAAACGATACAGAGTCTCTACCAGAGTCTTATCAAAATATTCTACAGTCTCTTTCTCTTTCATAGTTTCTCTTTGTTTGCTTCTCGATGTCTATCTCCATTCTCCCTCTTACATTTTTTCCCATTCCTAGTTCAACCCCACCAGAATAGGACACATTTTAAAGATTGTATTTGTCATATAATATTTAGCCTTCACTAGTGACACACATATAATAAACTTCTATTTTCTTTGGTTTTAAATTTGAACTAGAATCGCATATTGCTATATCAACTGTTTTATTTTAAAATAAATGGTTGCTTTGTAACTACGAGACTTATAATTTACTGGAATTGAGGTAAATATGCATTTTTTAATTTTATATAATTATTTATGAACATATTTAATTACTTAATAGAACTTGAGAATATATCGAGTGAATATATTTATTAGTTATTCACCAATTAATCATTAATTTTATTCTTGAGGCTTCCACTTGAGGGTGCTTTCTATATAAAGGTTATGCGTTTCGCGGGTTTTCTCCATGTCTAGATTCATTCTTGAGATGCCAACGTCTCGTGAACCTTGCAGTCCACTTCATCAGGGCGAGGAGCAGCCTGATACGATAACTGTTTTATTAATTGTTATATATATATATATATATATATATATATATAGATGAAAGGAGTGCATGTTCTTCCTGTACGTTTTATTACTTCTCAAATCATATAACAATATTATACTCAAGGACTAATTAAGCGATTTGAATAAAGAATGTCACACATAACTGCGGAATATGGATCTGATGGTCCTGACTTGCGTAATTATGATTTGCGGTTTATAGAATTTGAATATTAACATGGAGTGCGTTTAATAACCTAGATTGCACAATTATGATTTAAGATTTATAGAATTTAAACACAAGTGCGTTTAATAACCTAGTTTGCGTAATTATGATTTAAGATTTATAGAATTTAAACATAAACACTGAAGATGACCTGATAAAGAGGTCGAAACGTTTGTTAAAATAAACATATTTAAAAAAAATTGTTCATTGTAGCCCTTCTAAATTACTTTATTTTTTTACAAATGATACATTAAATTATGTGGAATTTAACTTGGCGCCAGTTTTGTTGATATCAAATCTTTTATACGAATGATACATGTCATTAGAGTTAAGTAACAAAAGATAATACCACTTGCGTTTTACTTTTCAATTTGATAGAATTTAACTTGATTAGCCAAGATTGTATTAGGTGTTGGAATTAATTCGTAGCGTTTTTTTAATGAAAGAACGTTATTTATTTCACATGAACATTAAAAAATACATTAATTAAAGTACTTCCCATCACTTTCTACTACTTTTGACCATCTTTCGGGCAGTGAATGAATACCGCGTCGGAAGAACTGTTCGTCTTTAGATGAAATCCACGAATCGAACCATTTTGTACAATCTTCGTAAGATGTGAACTTCTGCTCGCACAAGCTATGAGCTAATGATCGAAACAAGTGGTAGTCGCTAGGTGCAATATCAGGAGAATACGGCGGGTGCGGTAGTAGCACTTCCCATTTAAGTGTTTCTAGGTATGTTTTTACCTGTTTTGCAACGTGTGGGCGAGCATTGTCGTGCAGCAAGATGACTTTATCGTGTCTTTCGAAGTATTCCGACCGTTTTTGCTTCAATGCACGGCTCAAGCGCATCAGTTGCCGTCGGTAGAGATCTCCAGTAACGGTTTCATGCGGTTTTAGCAGTTCGTAGTATATGACACCCTTCTGATCCCACCAAATACAGAGCAGGAGCTTTGAGCCATGGATATTGGGCTTTGCCACTGATGTTGATGGTTCGCCGGGCTTAACCCATGACTTTCTGCGCTTTGGATTGTCATAATGGATCCACTTTTCGTCACCGGTAACAATCCGATGCAAAAAACCTTTTCTTTTCTGCCGTTGAAGCAGCAGTTCGCACGTGAGAAAACGTCTCTCAATATCCCTTGGTTTCAATTCATATGGGACCCAATGTCCTTCCTTCTGGATCATGCCCAAACTTTTAAGACGTTTTCCTATTGTTGATAAGTCAACTTCCAATGACGTAGATAATTCTTTAAGTGTTTGACATGAGTTTTCATTGAGCAATGCCTGCAAATCGTTATCTTCAAATTTTTTCGGCTGACCAGGTCGCTCCTTGTCATCCAAGTCGAGCTTGTAGCCCTTCTAAATTACTTTATTTTTTTACAAATGATACATTAAATTATGTGGAATTTAACTTGGCGCCAGTTTTGTTGATATCAAATCTTTTATACGAATGATACATGTCATTAGAGTTAAGTAACAAAAGATAATACCACTTGCGTTTTACTTTTCAATTTGATAGAATTTAACTTGATTAGCCAAGATTGTAGCATCTGGGTTTTAATTTTTCATTTAATACATTAGTTTTTTTCGAGGAGTAGTAATTTTTGACAGAGAATTAAAGTTGCTATTACTTGGGTTGGAATAAAATACCTTAAATAAAAATATCTTTAAAGAAAAATTAAAACTACTATTAATTAGGTTGGATACTTAGGTTTTATTAGAGAAGCACATTTTCTTAGCGCCTACTTTTCCTTTTTTAAAAAAGTAATTTTGTACTGATATAAGAATATACACGCGCGCCAACTTAAATTCACAACGTAATCAATACAATATTTGATTTATAATATATTGATGATCATATTTGGATTTCTGATATTCTTGCAGAGAATCCAACAAAAACGGTGTGCTGATGGATAAAGAGTTCCTCGAAAGAAACTCATTACACACTGATCTCTTCAACATCCCGCATATTCGCACGGTTTACAATCAATTCATGTTGACTTTCATACTTCTCTTTCTTAACACTATTGCGTGCGATATAATGGAGTCTGGAACGTAAGTTGGCAACGGAAATCTGTCTCGCAGCCCCTGGAAAATCATCGATTTTGTTGAAAAATTTAAATATCGTTTTATAAGTAGGGTAACTCCGATATATACGCCGCACCTATCAAAAACTTAATTTATTAAGTATTATTTACTATGTTTATATTAAAAGAACAATATCAGTAAAAATTTTATACTGTCTACTACTATGAAAAAAATATTATAAATTCGAAATATTTAGTTTTCGTATTAAAAAATAAACTTTTTGAAATATATATATATGTATATCTTACATTTTTGCTATATATATAATAGATAATGGGTGGGATATATGGCAAAAATGCAAGGATTTCAACAAACTAAACAAAGAATACGAAAGCAAAGCACTTGTATTTTGCTATACAATATGCTTTACTATTTCTCTACACGTATGTATCACGAAATAATCACTAGGTCTTTTACACGCCTTACAGTAATCGTTTTATGTAGATTATAATTTATAATGATGCTACTTGTTACACACACAGTGACAAATCGATTCAAATTGCAATAATTGCATTAATATTAACAGTAAGAAGCTGAAAAATTATAACTCAATACTAATATAACATAAAGGCATGTAACAGAGTAATTGCGAGAAAATTACCCCCACTCCTTCTATTTTTCTGACTTCCGCGGCGTAAATCCCAGCGCGGCGTATATACCGGAGTTATCCTACATATATTTAAAAATAAAAAAATATTTATTTTTAAAAAATAATATAATAATAAAGGTTCAAATAATTTATAAAATTAATAATAAGTATAGAACTATGAGCCAAGCAAGGTCTTAATGCTGTGTTATTAAAAAATAAAAGTTTATTACAACAAGCGTTTTAACCTCAATTAAATCATTCTCAATATTAACCTTGATACAATTTGAAATCAACTCATTTGATAGACAATAACTTGACGAAACATATAATATGATTAAGACAGTAATTGTAATAATATATGTATATAGTAATTGTAATAATATATGTAGTAATTGTAATAATATAATTACTGTCTTAATCATATTATATATTTCGTCAAGTTGATTTCAAATTATATCAAGATTAATATTGAGAATGATCCAATTTTTTTTGGGCTTAAAACATTTGTTGTAATAAATTTTTGTTTTTTAATAACATAGCATTGAGACTTTGCTCGGAGCTCGTAGCACTATACTTATTATTGATTTTATTTATTTTTAACATTTATAATATAGATAAATAAATATTTTTAGTCAAAATTTCTAAATTTAATTTTTCTTTAATTTATAACACATTTTGGTCTTAAAGCAAATTAAGCTTTTATTGATTTTTTAAATATTTTTAATCTTAGATTTTTAAAAAATATTTGATGATGTCACGCATTATAATTTTATTCTGTCTAACTTATCGGAACCGTATTTATCTTCTGACTGAGAAATATGACGTACATATTATCGGGACTGAAGAAAACGATACAGACACTTCAATATTGCGTTTGGAAAATTATTCGTGAAAAAGGGCGATACATAAGATATCTACATTGGAAAAAAAAATCTTAATTTTAAAGAAATATTTGTTTGCTCGTATTAAAAAAAAGTAAAAATTATTAAAAATAGTAAAAATTATAAATAGTAAAAATTATTTCTTTGGATCAATGAAAATTTCTTTGTAAATAAGATATTGTACAATATCTTATTTTCAAAGAAATTTTTATTGCTCCAAAGAAATAATTTTTTTTAATACGAGCAAAGAAATACTTCTTTGAAATTACGATTTTCTTTCAGTATATCCACTTACTGCCAAATGCAATGAACCTTCGTTGGAAAATAGACAAAACTCATTAATAAATTAATTACACTGCCCGACGTAATTTTTGCTGTTTGAATAAAAGATATCATTTCCGATGTATTTTTGCGCGTTTAACACGAATCCGGTAATGAAATTGCTCTATCACGTCAGGTTTGTGAGAAAAGTGAAGTTAAAGGTGCAAAAATTGACGTTTTTTGACATATCTTAACAAAATTACCTTTTTAAAAAAAGGTAAAAAAAAGGCGCCAAGTGTGCATGTACCTTCCATAAAAAACTGTACTTTACATAAACTAAAAAAAAAACCGTTACATAAATAATATAGTTCAAGTGGTAATGTTGTTAATTTTTTATTATAAATTACCCCTCAGTAGTACGTATGTATGTATTAAAAAAGAAATAAAATCAAATCTTTAAATTACGCCAAATGCAAAACAAATATATAATTTCTTGCAACATATAACATATACTATTGTATTTCATAAATTGCGAAAAGAACATATATTTTATTGCAATATAACATTTAATTAACGAGACAAAATGATACGTACCTTTATCTTTCTATTCAAGAGTCTTTTATATTTGCAATGGAATACAACATTTAATCTAAAAAAAATTAAAGACGTAGCATCACAAAATGAGAAAATTTTATTAAAATAAAATTTTTTATGTAAAAATATTTGGCGCGCTGCTAGACCTCAAAATAGAATAAGTAAATGTTACATAAAAGAAATAAACAGTGTTTACTGTTTAATTAACAATAATTAACATTAAAATTACAATCAAAATTACAATTAAGATTATAATTAATTTTAAATCTACTTTTAAATTTAACTTAAACCGCACGTCTTACAAATCTGAAATCATTATTTCTATACTAGTCTTATAGTAGGAGAGGCCAAGCGGGGATTTTGGGATTTACTCGAGCGCGTCAGAATAACATAAAGGGGGAAAGCTTGCACCCTAATAAGTACCCCCACCACATATTAAACCAAAATATACGCTGTATATTACTAATTCTCTTTCTTAAATCTCTTCATTACTTTTCATATTTGGTATTTTTAATTATTTGCTTGTACGCACACGCACACACACACATGCATACACGCTCGCACGCAGGCACACGCACACGCACACGCACGCACACGCACGCGCTCACAGTATATTGGTAGTCCACCTCATTTTCTTAATCTCTTCATTATTTTTTTTATTCGATATTATTTGATGATCATCTTATTATATTATGAGGTCTAGCAGCGCGCCAAAAAAAGTATTTTTACATAAAAAATTTTATTTTAATAAAATTTTCTCATTTTGTGATGCTTCGTCTTTAACTTTTTTTAGATTAAATGTTGTATTCCATTGCAAATATATAAAAGACTCTTGAATAGAAAGATAAAGGTACGTCATTTTGTCTCGTTAATTAAATGTTATATGTTGCAATAAAATATATGTTCTTTTCGCAATTTACGAAATACAATAGTATATGTTATATGTTGCAAATTATATATTTGTTTTGCATTTGGCGTAATTTAAAGATTTGATTTCATTTCTTTTTTAATACATGCATATGTATTACTGAGGGGTAATTTATAATAAAAAATTAACAACATTACCACTTGAACTATATTATTTATGTAACGGTTTTTTTTTAGTTTATGTAAAGTACAGTTTTTTATGGAACGTACATGCACACTTGGCGCCTTTTTTTACCTTTTTTT